CCCTACATTCATTTTGTATTTGAAATGTTAAGTTTCCTTGGTGCAGAGTTTAGTAGAGGTGGAAACAGAAGAGATGAAATACACAGGTTAACTGCATAAATTTGCATTGCAATCTCAAATGAAGCAATCATTCCAGAAGTGTACACAGAGAGCAAAAATACTTCTTAGGTATGAACAGAATGAAACTCTGCAAAACCTCCTGCTTCCAACTTCATATACGGATATCTCTAATAGAAAATGTACAACAGATTACAAAAGGAAATAAAACTCTTAAAATGAGTACAATATCACTATTAAAAGTCCTTTCCAAATGGAGTTCCCTTGCTTAGAAATTTAACATTTAAATATTTGTGTATATTTGGCTTCTTTTCTCCCAGACAGGACCCCATATTATTTTGCAAACAGTGTGCAGCAGAACTACTTCATAAATACCGAAGTATAGCCATTGTTGGCCTCAAATGTGCCATAGCAGCTATGTTCTGCCAGCTCACATACTGTGAAAACTGTCAGCAATGATTGTTTGTTATTCATTTGCCACACTAAACAGGAGAATTAAGACAGGCCTTTGTGTATGGCCTATACTGAAATTCAAGCAAGATGCCAAGATGTCAGTCTGTTCTTGGAAAATTCTTTCGAATTGTTAATGTCGCTAGAGCAGACAGGACATCAGAAGCATAGCTCCTACAGCTGTCCTCAAAACTCAACAGTCTGGTGTTACTTTGGTTAAATATTGATTTGGAGGGGAAAAAAAAACTTGTTAATAAGTGCATACATCAGCTTCTGTCATCTTGATTAATCCTTATAAGTCAGCCATAGAAAGTCCTGATCCTACAATGTATTAAACACCTTCAATTCCCACTGGCTTTTGTGGAAGTCAAGAGCCACTGGTATCTTATATATGACACCGTGCAACTTGCCAGATTTATCCCTAAGCACTGACCAAACCTGTGCTTCTGCTTTTTTGTTTCAGTCAGAACACTAAATGATACAGCCAAGAAATCAAATGCTTATTTGGTCTGTGGGGTCTTTGCATCCTGGTCAAATGTTGCAAAACTCTCAGTTTAACCCCAGCCTTTCTGACCTTGTGGAGCAGGAACTTTCCTTCTAGACGAAAAGGTTTGTACAGGACTTGCCTTTGCATCCAAGAGACCTTCTTGTGCAATTGTGTAACTGCAGGCACTCTCACTCTGCAAGGTACTGAATACATGAACTTCCTCCTTGTTTGTTGCCCTTGCTGGCTGGGAAATGTTAAGATAAAGAGCTGAATGAACTGGGATCTGCAGTTTATTCCCTTTTGGTACAGTGTGTAGCTATTGTAAAGGGCACATTGGAAATGTTTTAAACAAGTACTAAATGTTGGGCCACCAGTGTAATCATTTTCCATCAACAACAGGAAAGAAGAAGTTGTTTCAGTTCCTTCCTCCCCTCCCCCAACTATGTGCATCTTCATTTCTTAATTGCATGATACTAAAGTCAGAAGCATATGCTTCCTTAATTCATTCTGATGCAGGACTGCTGCAGTAATCAAATCTATCAAAGCTTGTGCTAATGATATATTGTATACGTGCAAGAGGTTCTGTAAAAAATTGACCGGAGTGTAAGGAAGCAGAAAAAAGAAGTCCTGATTTTCTTTACCTATAAAGTTTGGCCTTTGTATGATATATCCCAACCTAATATGTTAGACCCATGCCTGTACAAGTTGAATAAATGCATTCAAATTAATTAACTGTATTTTTCCAAGTCTGAGGCCGGCAATACATGGAAAAACCTTTTTGTCATCCCCCAGTCTGAACTTCTTGAATGTTCTAGCCACAGGCAGATTCTTCAAAATTTCTCTTTGTATTTTTTTTCAATTAGGCCTGTTTGTTTTTTAACTCAACAAGAAATGGAAAATGTGACAACAAACCACCTTCTCAGCTCTCAGAGGATTATCTTTTTTTCTGGTTCAGTGAATGTTTGACATTTACTGTATTTCACCTATGTTAACATAGTGGCAGTAGAACTATTAAGATTGAGACGGCCCTTTTTGTGTGAGCACAAAGATTGTAACCTATTTGTTGTGAACACTTTTTAGCGACGTTTAGCTCTTTTTCTGGTTAGTGAACTATCTGTGAGTGGATTGCGATGCTTATAGTGCATTCATCATTTTTTATCACTAGTTTTTACAGCCGTATTTTAATCTCTGGATTTCTCAGCAGCTGTATTAGACCGTCGCTGAGATAATCAGTATTTGGGTTTCTTTTCTCTAGATGTGAGAGTGGTCACCTAAATCACATTACATTGGTTTTCTGTTCCCTGATTGTGGGGGAGGGGTAAAAGGAATACATAATAATGGTGGAGTAAGAGACTGCACGGAGAAGCTCCTATTATTTTTTGATCATTTACATTATGGTAGAGCCTAAAGGCAGGACGCAGGATTGGGGCCCTGCTTTACACTGCACAGTGCTGATCTTTCCAGCTCTTCACCAACAATGCAGGGTACAGAGGCAGATAAGTATTGTCTCAAATGAAGGTGCCTTGGAGCTGCTGACGCTGATTGGCTGTATGTTACCGTATTGTCTCACCTGTGTTGCTTAAGTCTCTTAGCTTTCTGTCTCCCGTCACTCTCATTCCCACATCCAAAACTGGGACA